CCCCACCCCCGTCATTTGATGGGCAATTGGCTAGTATGATATTACAGTACAATGAGCAAACTCCTGCTGTGGAATGTTTTCACAGGCAAGCTCCCACACAGGGAAAGCCTACATGTTTATCCAAGTAATACTACTACTGCGAGTGAGCTACCTTTCCATCCTGATTCTGCTAGAGGCTAAGTGTCCTAACAGATGTTCATTTCAACGTTCTACTGAACTCCAGAATTCAAGGCTACACAAGCACTTCTAAGAGACACCTCTTCATCTGGCAGGACTGCAAACAAAATAAGTCACTAAGGGCTCCTATACATTTGCAGGGAGGCTGCTCCAACATGCTATAATTACAGTGTGTTGGAGCAGACTTGATTAATCAAGTCTGCAGGACCATAATAATTACTGTGCTCCAGCAGACTCCAGTCCCACATGTATCAGTGTCCCTGACAAATGGTGATAGGGCGCTTTAAATTAAAGCTCATTCAACGAGCTTTAGTTCAAAGCACCCCGCTGACATTTTTCAGCACAGGGACACTTATACACATGACACATGGGGTGCTTTTAATTAGCACAGCTTCCCTTCGCACCCCTGCCTCCCAGAGCTCAGGGGCAACCAACATGGGTTCACTGGGGGCAGATCCTGCCTGACTAACCTGGTTTCCTTTTATGACCAGGTCACCAAGTCCTTGGACGTGGGCAGTGAGGTGGATGTCGTCACAGCCTTCAAGAAGGCCTTTGACACTGTTTCTCACTCCAATGTCATAAGAAAACTAGGCGACTGTGGCATTGATGCCTACACAGTCAGAGTGGGGACAAATTGGCTAGATGGTCGCACCCAGAGAGTGGTGGTGGATGGGTCGTTTTTGACCTGGAGGGATGTGGGCAGTGGAGTCCCCCAGGGCTGTCCTGGGGCCTGTACTGTTCAACAACTTTATCAGCGATCTAGATGTGGGTGTGGAAAGCATGCTGTCCAAATTCGCTGACAACACCAAGATGTGGGGCGAGGTGAGCACGCTGGAGGGGAGGTACAGAATCCAGCTAGATCTAGACAGGTTACAGAGGTGGGCGGATGAAAATAGGATGGAATTCAACGCAGACAAGTGCAGGGTACTGCATCTATGGAGAAGGAACCAGCAACACACCTATAGTTAGAGAGAAGGTTCAGGCTGGACATCGGGAGGCATTACTTTACGGTTAGGGCTGCCAGGCTCTGGAATGGACTCCCAAGGGAGGTGGTGCTCTCCCCTACCTTGGGGGTCTTCAAGAGGAGGCTGGATAGATATCTGGCTGGGGTGTTATGACCCCAGCACTTGGTCCTGCCCGGGGCAGGGAGTCGGACTTGATGATCTGTTTAGGTCCCTTCTGACCCTAAGCGCTATGACACTATAAATGCCTAAAGACTGTAAACAGGTGTTGCATTTCTCCCAGGAAAAAGCCTTCTGTGCCAGGATCCTACAGACATTCACATCCATTGTGCCGCTTTGTGCACCTGTGCAGTGTGCCAGAGAAAAATGCTGTGTCTGTAAGTTACTGCAGCTCGTTTAGTTTAATTGCGGTTTGTTCCAGGGACAAGCCTGCCAGGCTGTGGGCTCTCCCTAGGCGCTTACTGGCAGAGGAGCAACAATGCAGCTTGGAAAGGCTCTATATGCAAAGGTCTGTGCCACTGCTGTTTTGATTCAGGTCAAAACCACCTCAAATGGGACATCTGTTTACAGGCTAAGTCTCCAAGATGAAATATTTCTTCCATCGTTCACTTCACTGAATAGAGATCACTTACTTGAAAACCTGCTGGTTACCTCAATGCTTATTATCTTTCAACTGGCTGCCTTGCCCCCCAGTAGGATTCTACAGACCCTCTGAGTCTTAAACTCTCACCACCACCTTTCTAGTTCTCCTACTGTTATAAAACAGAAACTTCAGCAAGGACAGCTTCACAATGATAAATGCAAGTTCCTGACATTTCATTTCTTGTTACTTGCTGGCTACTGGAAAAGGTAGCAGTGCTGATATATCTGGACCACTTAGAGAGACCTACACACTGGGTGCAGCCACAGCATGGAAACTACAGTTCCCTTTCCCCAACAGACATTAATATTTCTTCTGCATTGTCCTACAAAAAATATATCAGGAGCAAAGCTTGAATACAATATATCTGATATTTATAATGCACGAGTCATTAGTCTAAACATATCAAACTTGCATGTTCTTTCTCGTGATTCTCGTACGTTTATTTTGAAAATTGCTGCTACTTGCTTTCACATGAAATTCAAACTATATTTCCAGTTTGAACTACTAGCAAGATGATTTTTTTGTTTTTGTTTTTTTTACAGGCAGCACGGGATGATAGAAGAAAAGGCATTTCATTTGCTAATGAATTTAAGAAGTTAACCAAGTCAAGTAGGCAGTATAGAGGTTTCATATCACCCCCTCTGCAGACTTCACCAGATGGTACCCAGAGCAAAGATGAAAAATCTGCATGTAGTTTGACATTTAGTGACATCATGGAATAACACCCACAATTAACTGCAATATGCTCTATTCAGGTACAACATCTCTACTACTTGTTCGTTAATTGTACGCTTGATTTTCAAGGCATAATTTGTACCATATTTTTTTCAAAGGGGTACTTAGTAAGCCATAGTAAAGTACAAGAAGTAATCAGAATAGTCCATTAAAATCTTATGGGTTATTGCATCATACTGGCATATAGCCATCCATGTTTCTGTATTCTGGTAGTGCTATCTAGTCAACATGATTTTAAACTAAGATAAATTAAAAAGTGCTAGGAAATCTGCTTTGACTCCTGTACCTGCATAGTCCTAAAATCTGTGGAGTAACTGGTCTAACAATAATCCGCTTTTAAAAAAAGACCAAAACAGGACCACTTAGCATGCTGCCTGGCTTTACAGTGCACTGTCCCAGCAAATTCCAGGGTTCACATACTGCTCTAAAAGGGGTTTAAAGGCAAGTGTTTAAACATCCTCTTTTGCATTATGGGACAGATTAAACAGGAGCATCAAGATGAACTTTTCTGTTTCCTTGCCACAGTTGTTTCCAAGTACATTCTTCCCCTTTTAATTTCATTTCCTTTGTTTGTGACAGCCTAATGCTGAATTGTAGCTAAGGCTGTCCTTTTTATGCACGTAATGTTATAAGAGAGAGCAGTATTTTTTTAAAGTAATGTTGTTTTAATGGAGAATAACTTGCCATTTTGATTACTTGTCCATTGGTTTACAGTGACCAGATATTTTCATGGGACTGTCCACAATAATCCCAAGGGATTTCCTAAATTTGCAACTGATTATAAATGGACAAGAAACCTGTTTTTGGTAATCCCACTGCAAGTGAATCAAAGTTCCCATATTTCCTTTCCAGTCATGCCCAGCTATCCAGATCCTGCTTATATCTGTCATGCTATCAAACTTCAAGCAACAACATTTCATTTACAAAATTCCTTGCAAGATTATCTCACTGTACACAGCATGTGTTTATGTACTTTTATTTAAATTAAAATGCCACGTGGTCTCTCCCTCTTTCTAGGTGATTATAAAGCCTTAGAATGGCAAAACCAAAAAGTCAGATGGAAGCCATGAGAAGCAGAGTAAGTGATGAAGACAGATCCCGGTCGTATTCCCTCTTCTTCCACAAGCCTTTTCCCTTGTTTGATAACTGGAACCTACATCACTGATTACTGAATTAACATCCCTTTCTGCAGTCGATGTGAAGGAAACTGCTGAGGCCTAGACTACTCAGCAACAAGCTGACCTGCACTAAGTCATTAGTCCAGACTATGCTTCCAGAGGCAGGCCTGGGAATGCAGAGTGGCATGACATTGTTCCTAGTGTTTGGAAGGATGACTCCAGCATTTGGGAGAGATTTCGTTCTGCCCCACTGTCTGCAGAGTCTGGAGAGGAGGATTAAGCAGGCTTTTGGATTGCTTGTATGTAAAGCACGTGGCTTTTAACAAAAGATATTTTAGTAAATTGCCTCAAGGGAAACTAAAGGCAGAAAATTAGAACTAGACTGTTCTGTTTTGTGTATTATAGTAAAATAATGCACTTTTAACTAAAGGCTCCTGTTAAACACTGTGCTAGGTGACTGTAAAAAGATTTTCATATGCTGTAACTTTCTTGGTATCACAGATTTAATTTTGATGAATATATACAAAATACTTCATAGTTATTTATGGATTATTTACTTTCACAAAAAATAATAATAATGTATAGCAGCTATATACACCTAACTGGTAGTGATACTTTGACAAGGAACAATATTTTCTTTATTCAGCTTCTAATTTTCCAGGCCTGTGTTTAAAATAAAAATGAATATTTATTTTCATGTTGCAAGGTATGTGCCAGTATGTAATATATTTATCATACCTTACTTATTAAAATTGAAGAATTCTTAGAGAAAAATTATTCACTTTTCTAATGTTTCTTTTCAAGCAAAAAAAGTAAATGTACACTTTTAGTAGCTAAAACTGACCCAAATTTAATGGCATCTGGAAAAATAAAATTGCTTAAAATTTCACTTCTGAGTTCACACTAAAATTGTTTCTTAATAACATAATGGAATGGATGGAAAAATAATTTAAAATTGTTCATCTGTAACATTAGTAGTGCAGTTCTCCAAGGTATTTTTTTTAATTGAAGAAAAATTTTTCTTAAACCCAGAGAGTATAAAGAACACCTGGACTATTGGATTTATTTTTCAATATAAACCTTGCTGTTTTTGTTTACATAGAAACACTGTTGTAAAGTTTTGTACATTTGCTGAAATACTATTCTTTCAATATTTTAAGTAAGTTGTTAGCTATGGGTGTCTCTTTTCCTTTTGTGCAAGTAATTAGCATGCTAAGTGTTATTAACAGTAATTTATACCAACTTGTACACAGCTAAAACATCCATCCTAACAGTCTAACTGTGATCACTAACTTGCTCTGCACACACAAGTCCATGAATGGCATCTAGGGAGATAAGTCATGCAGTCTGATCAACTGAAGTGTGGATCATTCATTTCGTCAGAGGTCTTCTGTTCCTCAACATGCCCTTCAGCTCTAGCAGAAAAAGCTGCTGTTTCTAAGGAGATCACATGTAGTGCAGTTAAAGAGATGTTTGCTTATCATTTGGAGAAGAGTAAAAGGTCCTGATTGCAATCTTGTAACAATCCAGACAAGATAAAGAGAGGTACTGAATCCAATAAATTTAAAGTCAAACAGAAGAAAGCAAAGTCATCAGTACATTTCTAAACATAAAGGAGAAGCTGCATGCTACCACCACAAACCAATGTGGGAGTGACCATCCCCTTGTACGTGCGCAGAAAGTGCCCCCTTGAGGCCTTTTCCAGCGTCTTTAAAAAGTTGAATTAATAAAAAAAAGCAAACCTGCTCATTGCTGGCCTGGCAGCTCCTTCAGCAACTGGCTCCAACACCAAGCATCAGAACTGAAAGATACTATTTGACAACTTATTGGGAGATTTAAATCTCTCATTAGCCCACTTGAAAAATGCAGTAAACTACTAGCTAAGCCTCTTCCAGTATCTGATTCCATTTTGAAATTTAAGGAATGAGCAATATTTTCAAGTAAACCACTTTAGTTTGCCACTTCTCTAAAACCACTGAAGAAGATTAAGGGTAAACTTTTCCAAGTGTCTCAGGAATAATGTAGAAACCTATGTCAGTGACTTTACACGAGATTTAAGTACCTAACCTGCTCAGGTTTTTATTTAAAAAAAAAAAAAAAAAAAAAGTATCTGCACCGTTAGGTGCCAAAATACCCTTAAAATCTAGCCTCTGGGTGCTTATGTCTATTTTTAAAATGGAACTTAGGCTCTTAAGTTATTTAAGCATGCTTGAAAATTTTAAGTGACATCTTCAGAATCTGAAGCATCTTATTTGTTCACTGGCAAAATGAATAAAAGCAGCTTTCCTTCCCTACCCTGTTCTTCTAATGCTTCTAAATTGGATTCTAAAGTAATCAGCCCCACTGCTTGTGTGATGTATGGGACATCGGTCTTCACAGGATTTGTACAATGCAGGACTGAGAACAAGTAAAATGCTAATGTGACAAATCATGCATAGTTCTATATGTACCTTGCCTTTTCTTTTGGGTCACATTTGTATTGATAGACTGCGCAGTTTTAACTACTGTAACTTTCATATGACCTTTGGATATAACTCAGAAGAAGGTCAGATTTTTTATTTTATTTTAGAGGTTCTAAGTCTTTTTTCCACTTCTATCACAGTGGCAGTTTCACACTGTTTATAACTTTTTTTTCCTTTATTGTTTGAAAAATGCCTTTTCAAGCATGACTGTTTTTTCCTGTAAAGATTTTACACTTTTCCATTTGGTTAATGGATTTTTAACCCTATTTCTAATGGCAATGAAAACCGGTTTTCAAAGATGACTAGTTCCTTCCTTCAGGATCTGGGAAATATTATCATTAGTGTCAGCACAGGGCTAGGAGAAGCATCTGTTAATTTACTAGAGATCTGGCAGACAGAGCACTCCCATGGGCAGGCATATTTCAAACATTTTCAGTTCCCATTGATGCTAGAGTTAGAAAAAGAGGGTGACCCTCTCCAGGTTTTAACATATAAAGCAGGTAAAATACTAGCCTAACACCTGGTAACCATTAAAGAAGTGATGGATTCACACTATTCCCAATTAGCGCACACTAGCGAAGTGTAAAGTGTGATCTATTAATAAAGACACTTTCCTTTGATGGTTTAGTTAGCCATGCACTATTGTCATGAATCAGCCAAAGAATAAAAGCTACTTACACTGCTGCACAATCATGGCAACAAGAAGAACATCCTAATATTTTGCTAATACATTTAAAACTAATATGCATTTATTTAGAGGATGGGCAGGCATATTTTTTGTGAGGCTATTAATGTAATTTCCAGTTTTCCCCCCTCATTAATGTACATAAATGGTGTTGTTTAGTTTGGTTTTAAAGAGTCACCAGCCAGCCACCAGCTGCATTTTTTGGTCAGTGTTTTCTTTATTTTTGGACAGAAGAAATCAGAGGGAAGCATTCAGTCCCTTAAAAAAGACTGTATAGCAATAGTGCCTAAGTGTTAAAGAGGCTTTTTTAATGTTTTTATTAATACAAAGGTAGAGTTGACACTGAGCTGTGGGATAAATAGTAAAACTGATCTTGCTTACCCAAAGGATTTCTTTCTTCAAGATTCATGTCATGGCATATAAACATTTCTGGTTCTGTCTCCTTCTGCACTTCAGGCTGGGTGCCTGGTCATGGGAACCTGTGGGTTTAAATTAAACACATACATTCTTATTCTTTCTTACAAATTACAGGAACTCGTTTTTTATATCACAGTTGCAAAAAAAAAGTAAATCCAGCACAAATAATAGACCCTTTAAACAGCAGGAACCCAATTTTTCATTGTGATGATGCAGCACATTGACTAATGCTTTTGTAACTGAACAGCCTCTTTTAAAGAACTTACCGCTCAGTCTCATGGGATTTATTTATAACAAGGTTGAACTGTATATACCTCCCGGAAACATGCAGCTGACAAACAGCAGCAGGATTGACCATACACAGTCCAAATTTGAAAAACCACACACTCCTTGCTACTTTGAAAAGAAAACATTTTATTTTTCATTAAACTAGTTTAAAACATTTTACTTTCCTACCAATGCTTGTATATATTTGTTTTAGTTATACTGAGTGGTAACATCAATGCATATCCAGGACTGAGCATTGGTATCTCGAACTCCTGGCTCTATAGCTACACAATGGTTTTCAGAATTGGATTAGAACATGGGCAGGCGCTCAGTGGAGTTTTTTTTTTTATTATGACCATTCAAAAATATGGGCTTAAAAAAATATAAAATACTGTCAGATTTTTAAATACTGAAACCTAGATCACTTTTGTTTGTAGTTTTATTACCACTGACATTGCTTGGGAGTATCTTACTAACCATCTCTTGACAGTGACCTGCTTCTAGAGACCACTTTCAAGTTAGGAAAAATAAAATATTTTAATATGGAAGTCTTTAAACATTCTAAGTTTACATTCTCTTTAAACTCACAATTAAGCTTTTTAAAAGAGAATTATCAGTAACTTTTAATTTCTGCATGAAGCAGTGTCTAGTCTGAACAATTTTAGCTCTAGCTCTCACAATGCAGCTGAGCTTCAACAGATGTTTATTGTTTTTCACTTTGTTGTTTTTAAGTCTTGTAAAATTTAAATTTCTTTCAAGGTAGCCCATTAGATGTAATGATGGTGAAGTGTCATCTGTCCATGATAAATATTTTGTAAGTGTTACAGTGCTTCATATTTAGTGAAGTGAATAAATAAAATGCAAACAAAAATAAATGCAACAGCAGTAAATATTTCTCTATCCAATATATATATAGGATATTTCAAACTGATTTCCTATTTGTGCTGTTGTCTTCATTCTACTACTTTAAAATACAACAGCTTTTTGACAATGGAAAAGTACTTTGTGCCAGTCTTCATATAGTTTTGAATTTATATAAAGCTGTATTTTAAAACTGACTTTCCACCTGGACTACTTTCGCTATGCCGACTTGAAAAGTCAACTTGTATTTGTATATGTTGGAAGAATAAATGGTTTGAGATGTTGATTTCTATTTCTGCTTCTCCAAATCAAGAAAATTATTGGTAATGGGATGCTCATTCTAAATATTTTAGAACTTAAAACCACAACTATTCTGGAGTAATTTAAGAACTAAAGAATCAGAGCTACTTGCATGCTAAGGAGAGGCATTTTACCCAGAAAGTAAAAAGCGCATGGAGCACACTTTGTACAATGCTGCACATATTAAACAGGCCCTTTTACAATCACAGTTGAAGGAACCTCAAGGGTCATCTGGTCCAACCCCCTGCACAAATGCTACTCCTACAAACAGTTTACATGGTGAAAAAATACATTTTAAGATCTAATTTAAGGCCACTCACAAAAATGTACTTTAAAAATAAGATCTTTGTGCATTTGTGTTGTATTATCTAGAATTATTTAAGTTATTTTGATGGAAAATTAATGGCATGGTGATAAAAAAATGCTTCCTACAAAATGTCACAGTTAATATATATTATTATTTACATCAGTAACATTTAAAGGCCTCAAATTAGGTCCTAAAATAAACAAACACTTTCAAAGTACTGCAGGTTGTTTGGCGCATGGGAAAAAACAGCAGAGATTTGAAACAGTGCCTCAGTGGGATACATCACACACTGCATCTGTAACAGGCCTATGCTACAGAACAGTTCTTTGTAAACAGTGACTTTCACTTTCAGATTATTTCATGTATTGTAAATGTTATCTGGAAAAAGCTAACATAAAAAATGATTTAAAACATAGCTGCTTCTAAGCTAGAGGTTCCCAAACTTTTTCTTATTGTGTACCCCCTTCCAGATTTACCAGCTGCCCGCATACCCCTACCAGCATACATTTTGTATTTTAACGCCTTGAATGCCAAATATTATTATAATGAAAATGAAATCCACCATTACACAAATTCTCCCATGTACCCCCCAGAGATGTCTTGTGTACCACTAGGGTTATGCATACCACAGTTTGGGAACCTCTGTTCTAAGCCAACCCATCAAATGCAGTAGTAGAAAGTACTCTAAGGCTTTAAATCTTTGCCTTGAGCCTCTCCAGAATCCTTGCCATGGTGCTGGTTTATTGAAGGTATCAATGAATGCTTCATTCACCAATGTCCAAAACATCAAAATAGAGTAGGATCCCTTCAGCCTTTGGAATGGGATGCCCAAGTACGAAGAATTCCAGTGGACCGGTACATACCAGAAGGATTTCAGTGAAAGAAAACAACAGTAAAAAAATAAAAATCTTCTGAAAGGGTGACATTCATGAGTAGGACCAGTCAGAAAAAATAAGTACATAAATGCACATTAGTTACTGCTCACAGACATAAGATTCCCAAGGCATTTTAATATAAACAGCAAAGAATTCAGTCCCATATTACTATTTTGTGAAATATATTTATTTGTCAACATAAGCCAATGACCTTTAACAAAATATAGATTTACATACTGCATTACAAAAAAGAATTCCATAATAAAAAATTATCACAATAGTGTACATCGTCAAGCAGTTAACAGTCAATTGTTTGCAGCCCCGCCTGCCTCCAGGAGTGCTTGCTTGTACATTTCTTTGGGGGAGTGAAACCTAGATATGCAGTCCAGTTACCCCAGAATGGTCAGTGCAGAATACACTGCTTTACTCTGTACCTCAGCACTGCACTGCATTACCAGCTCCAAAACAAGAGTTTATAGGAAATCCTCTAAAGACGTTTAGTATCAATTTCTTAATTGTAACTACTTTCTTCCCACAATTAAGAAACTGATTACGCTGGCTATACTACTTATGATATAGATGATTCCTTTAAGTGTTTAGCAAAATCCAAAGTTCTATGAAGAGAAGGCTGGCTGAGATGTGCCTGAATCAGTTCCTTCAAATCTTCATGCAGGAAGGAATTGCCTGGTGAAAATTTATCCTGAAATGAATAAAATGGTAAATTGTATAAAGCTCAGTAAAGTCAAAGTGGTGGTTTCTCGAGGTGTCTTTTTACCTTCCCCTCTTGAAATCACTTACAGAGAAAGGACTTGTTTTCTAGGCAGAGAAATTTTTCCCTTCTCTGTAAATAAGGGGAGCCTACCACTCTGACCTCTTGCTATGAATTCAGACAAAAATCACACCTGCCATTTGAATTTAATCCAATACTTTTA